CATGTATCCAGAACCGCTGCATCAGCATGTAAAGCAGGAGATGTGGGTAGGCTCTGGTGCTCTTAAAAAAAAATCTCGGAGGGTGCTGCTGTACATCCTCAAATCACTGCCTGGTGTTATAACGCCGGGCTTAATGGCCCATGACCTCAGATTATGGCCCAGAAAGGACCAGATCAAATGTCAGAGGAAAGATGTTCCAGGTGTTAAATAGCTACTTTAGGATTTGGGAAACTTGAGCTCATTTTCTTGATCTGCTTCCTCAGATTCAATCTGGGACTTTAGGCCACTTAGCCTTTCTCAATTTTGATTTCCTGATGGAAAAATAAGGAAGTTAAAAATGGTTTGACTCAGACAATAGTGTCGTAAATAATTGCAAGTCACTTATGATAAGTATGAGGATGGTAGAAGTAAAGAGTATGAACTCTTTCTACTCTGGCGTTTTTTGTTTTTTTTTTTCTCAAGTGGAGGACCAAGTTTTTGTAGAGCACTTAGAGCCCGCCTTCTTCCCTGCAGGACCAGGATCATCCTCCTCCACACTTTTAAGGACAAGCCCAGCCCCAGCACTGCCATGCACATTGGACTTCCCCCTCCCCACAGGACCAGCCCCGAAACTCACTCACCCCCTTCAGGACCAGCCCTGGGAACTTCTTTTCACATGTAGGTTGTGATTCTCTGTAGGTGAGAACACCTCTTGTTCTTTCCCATGCAAAGCGAGAGAACAAAGGTCCTACAGGTCATGTAAGTGGGTGTCGGCTGTGTTGAGGGTATGCTTCCTTCACCCGTGCCTCCACCTGCAGAAGTGACAAAGGTTTCCTTCGCTTTCAGGGAAAAACTCAGCAGTTCTGAGTGAGTTTTAGCTTCTGGATTCCAACACAAAGAAAAACAGCTCCCTTTGGAATGAAATGGTGTGTCAAGTATGGCGTGCTCACCATACTTAAAACTGTTTTATGCATACTGGATAGAATTACTATTTTATAACTCAGTGCTGTATTTCTGAGCAGTCGGTATGAATAACCAATTACTCAGAGCTCCTTTGTCTAGCATTTCTGAAGCCCCCACAGAATCCTCAAATGCCACGGTAGCCATTTGCAGACACAATCTAAATGCAACTGAAGGCTATGCAGAAGGAACCCAATTCTGTTTCATTGCTTTTGTTTCAGAGAAACTGGAATTCTACAGAGAATCGCATGTTTTGGATGGAAAGCCTGCAAAGTCAAGCTCCGTGGTTTTCTTCTGCCTCGGAGTTTCGTTAATGGGTAAGCAGTGTAAAGCTGTGTGTATTCTGAGCAGGCATCTCCTGGACTGACTTACTGAGAGTTTGTGTGGAAAGTGGGAACAGCAGGGTGTGCCTCTTTACCAATTCTTCTGCTATTGGTGGTGGTTGTGGTTGAAGTGGATGGTTTATGGCTTCTCCCTATCTTGATTAATTGAACAGTGTAGAAAACACAGCTTATGCCTATGCATCCAAATCCTTAGCCTCTCACACTCTCCTGTGAGCTCAAAGCCTGTGCTGTGAGCTCCTGATACCACTGTGGAGAACCAAGGGGAAGGAGAAGGAAGGGATTGGTACACCTCCTGAAAGTGCTCACTGCCTTCCAGACGGAATCCCAGAGATACCAACACTGAACAGCTGAGTCATGAGCACGTTTTATTTGGCTCCTTCTGAGAGAGCAGAGCAGAGGCAGGAGCAGCTGGGGGTAGAAACATGAACAGCCAACACCAAGACTTGCTCTTTGCTCAAATATTTATTTGCAGTGTGACACTGGCAGCAACCTGGAAGATTAGCAAACTCTGGTATACTCTAAAAGAAGTTTGCTGTAAAGGCAAATGGAGATCCAAGAGGAATCACGCCCTGCAGCCTTTCAGTAATGCATGTTAGAGGAGTCCTTTCTAGGCCACCTAAATTCTTCCTAGCCAGAGGGATCTGATTTCCCAGCAGGGTTTACAAACTAGTGGCAGAGCGTAGTCACCTGCCATGTAAGGCAAGGTGTGAACTGCAGTATTCTTATCTATGGTGTATTTAGTTTGCCAGTCCAGTTGACTTGCACTGGGACTTCTCCTAACCCGAGCTGCTACGTTCAGCATAAGGAGGGGTATCATGGTCTGAGGCTGAGCTGTTACACTCTTCCAAAGCATCCACTAGAGAGGGTGACAGGACATCTTGGCAGTGTCATACCAGAATATGCAGGGAGTAAACAGGAGCCTAGTAGGGGAAGAGAGCTGCACAAACTAGTATTTCTTGCCACCTTTCTGCTTGTGAGCAATTTCACTGTAGAACTGAAGAGGCTTAATAAATGATGTCTCCCCTCCCTCCAAAACCCTATCTTGTGCTTCAGCAGCAAAGGCAAATGTCAGTATGGCAAGGACTCTAAGGTGTCCTCTGGAGAGCTTTGCATCTTAGCAGCTGTCCCCAGCACATACGTGGTATTGGGACAATAAAATGTTGCTCAGTGCTGCTGTCCTACAACTGATTAGGTCAGCTGTAAATATTGGGACTGCACAGTAAATACATACACGCATACTACCAGATTGTGCTGACTTGTTAAATATAAATGAAAACATAATTAGATTTATAATGTGTCCCTCCCCCTCCTCATGCCCAATAACATAATTTACCAAAAAGGGGGAGGGGGAAAGAACAAGCCCTTGCAACCTGCTGAAATATCATT